CAAATCCAATTTAAAAAAAAAATCAAATAAAAAAACGGAGCTCGTTACATTAGCTCGTATTGTAGGTTCCGTGTCTATGTGGTTACGTACCAATAACGATTAGAATGAGCTTTTGAACTAATATTGCAAGGTAATGATAAAATTAAAGGTTTCGGTCAGTTTTTTTATGATCTTCAGTATCTTAAGCTGCAGCGTTTTGGTGTAACAATTTTGTTAAAATTCAAAATTCCGGGACACAAATATTCATATGCTAATGAAAAACTCAAAAAAGAAGAATGCTATACGAGCTGCTGAGCTTCTTACAGAGACCTGACCTTGTGCCCTTTCTTACGGTTGACATAAATTCTTTTTATAAAATTTCTGGACCGAGTAATGACTCCTCGCTCTTCAGCATTGAGCACGGATCATTGCGGGTCTCGAACCACTAACTTTTGGCTGGAAAAGGGGAGACTTTAGTAACTTCACCACAGACAAATCTTCGGCACATTATCTGCTATAGGTATATCAAACGCAAACTCAGCATATATGATTAAGTTTAAAATTGAGATTAAACGTACTTCAAAACGCGTCAGCGATAACTTCACGGCAACTCCATGTGAAGCCACTCGAGGAGTTTGGCCCCAGAGCAATAACTCTGTCTGATTGAGGCGCTAAAATACCGGCTAAGTTTGATTGAGACCAATTACAAGCATATTTGAAAACAAGTAAAGCGATCTCAGCGATGTTTCTCAGTGGCAACTTTCTTGTTGATTTGGTAACAAAACTGCGCCAGAGCACTTAAAAACACGCGCCCCATACGGTGTTATTAAGTCATCAAATGCCAAATATTTGCCATTTTTTACAAATTTTCGCAGCAAAAAACAACATGTCACTTTAAACGAATGTCGTATTTTTGTAAACGCTGTTGATTGATAATAAAGTGGTTTATGTATTGTCGAACTCGGTGGGACGTCAAAAAATGACAGTCAAAACAAATGAAAACACCTCTGGTCAAATGGAATTGGTCAAATGGATACTTTTGACGCAGTATTTAAAAACTTGCCATGGGGCAAAATATTGTGGTCAATGCCAGAACCAGATTTTCCTTCTTTTTTCTAAATTGTTTTCATAGATGGAGAACAGTGCTGAGATTTTTTGTGATAAACAAACCTTGATATGTTTTTTTTTAATTTGAACGAACTTTATTTGAATCCCGCACTAGAACTTCATGGTTAATAATCAATCAAATTGGCTTTTTTGTCGGTCTCTTTAAAAATTAAAAATAATCTATATAATTGATTTAAAATGAATTATAAACTTATGTTTTGAAAGAGCATCAAATTTTTAACCATTTCTGAGATAAAATCTAGAAAAAAACCAGCTCGATTGTTCTGCCAGACAATTTTTCCTATGCGTTGGTCAAAAACAAGTTCTTGTTTCAACCAACCGATTAAAATTGACAAGATGTTGGTGTTGTTTTAGGTAACAATTCAACAAGCTCAAATGTTGCTCTGGTTGGTATATCAGGCATGACAATGATAAAAACATATTCTCACATTTGATCATGTTTGGCAGACTGTAAGACATGCAACTGAAATGTTATTCTTTTCATTCGAAATTTTCATTTCATCTGTTTTTAGATAATCACTCTGAGTCATTGAAAACTTGTAAAAGCTTTTAAAAGTCAATCATTCCTAAATACTGATTAGCTTTTATCAGATGAACTAAAACCAGAATTTTCTGTATATTGTAATCAGAGAGCTCGGATATAAGTTAAACCCTCCCTTCAAAAACAAACCCAGATCCAACAATACATGAATGTATATGCCAGGAACTAAACAGCTGTTATTTTGGTCCATTTCTTAGTTTAAAAGTCTCTTAAGAATTAATCTAATTAGAACTGAGTTTTTGTTGTCTCCTGTTCAAATTACATAAGACTTGGTCTGTCAAATTTTGACGAGTCCTTTCAAAAAGAGAGAAAATTGAGCGAGTTTAACTGATGTTAAATGGGGGCGAAAATTGGTTTGAATTAAGGAAGCATGGGCAATATTGGGTTAAGTTAAAAATCGGGGAGACGGAATCGGGTTTTGTGATCGGAGAAGAGAGTCAGCCTGGCGACAGACACTTGAGTTGTTTTGGGTCTTAATTTGGGCGCCAGAGAAGTGTTGAATTTGTTTCTGTAGTAGGGGTAGGAAAAAGCCCGTTAATCTGGGCTCTTTTGGCAACTGTTTCCAAAATAGTGATAAACAATACTGTTCTCTAAACCCTTTATCAACATCAAAGCCGTGTTGCGTACACACTTATAACTTATCATAACCGACCATCGGAGAGGTGTCAATAAAAGTGATTGCACAGGTAAGAGAGTTTCAGAAAATAAACAAAAGCCGATAATGAATAAATTTGCTTCATAAAAATATACTTAAGTTAATACTGCGCCTCTTTATAAACAGCTGATCGCAGGTCTTTAATCTAATCTCCGTTACCTGGTGTACGCGACTGGATCTGTTAAAATTGGGGAAAACTAACAGATCCCAGAGTAATCTAGCCGGGATCAGACACTGATCCAGAGACATGATCCCAGATTGATTGTCGGCCACTCTCTGGATCAACTTCGGATCAGCTGTTGCAACACCACCGATTTGGGGGCTAAATTTCTGTTAGAGTTACAATAACAGTACAGCTACAAATAAGTCAAGCTATAATCTCACCCAAACATCGCTCTACTCTCTCCCAACGTCAACAATCACCTCAGATTTTAGTAGAATTGAAATTGAGAATACTCAATTCTGAAGAAAGAAAAAACAAAATCAAGGAATATCGGCTCGGACCAGAAGTGCAATTTTCGATTTGTCTGGGCTACGGGTTTTTTGTAAGTCGTAGATAAAAAATGAGAAAATCCTAGACTCCGCCCCCTGCAAAAACGAAACAAAAACTTGGTTAAAAAAGTACAAATTACATAATTTTTCTGAGAATGATGTTTTCTCATTTTTGAAGTTGATCTTTCAGTTATCTTTTTTTGACAATTTTTTTAAATCAATTACTTTTTCGAACACTAGTACTTTTTCTGAAGCGTTAAAATACTTTGACATTTTGTTTGTCTTTTGAAACAATAACAATCTTGGCTGATTGATCTCATTGTTTTGATAATGGACTAAGTTGAGACCGTTGGGAAAATGCAGGAATTGCTCAATTACACCTGACACGAGTTTCCATGTCAAACAGTGACACTTGAACACTAGTTAATTGTAATAACGCATTGTTTATTTTAACGGGAACATTGGATATAAATTATAATAAACAGTTATTTTCTATTCAACACAATATAAAAAGAATTCTTTAAACTGACAGTGTAGAAGATACACGTGAGATTTTTCCAGCCTATTTTCTCAATTTCCAAAAATTGACCACCCGCCAGCTTTTTTGGAGAATTTATCAGTTTATAATCAGAGTAACAGCAGGGTTTTTGATAAATTTATATCGAGCACACTTCATTTTTTTACCTAATCAAGTCTTCGATTACACGCCGCAGACCAAAATTTTCTCCAGCTGTGAGCCGATGGATAAACTCAAACCATAAGACTTCTGGAAAAATAATAGCAGAGCGTTTCTGTTAGGAATAAAATTGAGTCTAACAATGTCAATTTTTATTTTATTTTTTAGTTCACGAGAATTTTGTGACTGATCTAAGAGATTATCTGGGGGAAAAATCACAGGAAAAAAAGTATAAAAATAATTAATTTTTCACGCTGTGCTATTTTTCAACAACGCTTTGTTCACTCTTCTAGAATGCAAAAACTTCATTTTTAGCCGTAAATTAAGATATTTTTTACAACCATTACTACTTGTTTAGACTATGCCTTAAATCATGTTTGTTTTCGAGAGTTACCATGTTTTGACGTTTGAAAACTGATTGTTTGAGTGTTTGTTACCTGTGGCGTGACAAAATGACAACTTTCAAGTGCAAGTTTTGGCTAATTGAGACTAAAAAGAGCAATCAACGGCTTATTAACTTGTCAAAAAATGGTAGTTGAAATTGTATAATTTAAGAAATCTGAATTGGTATTGGAGATGTTTTATTCCACTCGAATGCTCTTTTTTGACTCAGTTATGAAAAGAAAGAACCTCTCCAGTTGTAGTGAGATCAGTCTCTAGAACTCACGTTTGCGCGGCCGCTCGTCAAAATAATGTCAAATAGTCAAATCATTCTTTCTTGCTTTTAGCGCATGATTTAGTGAACGCGCTACAAATCTAAGTGCTTACTGGAGAATAATACCAATCAGGTGATGATTTAAAGAGGCGGGGTGGACGCTCTTCATCATAAAACCGACCCCCTCACTACCCAAAGGATCCCCTTTTTTGCCTTTTATGGCTCCAATATCGGTTTCTAATTGCTGAAGAGGTTAAGTAGATTTCGCGTTTATGTTATGAGTTATTCCTGAGGTGGTTAACTCATAGAGTTAGATCAGGTTCCAGTTAAGAGGGTGTCTGAGTTTCACAAAAAAGTTTCACAGAAAGTTGACATCTTTATCGGGTATCACTCTTTGGAAGTTTTAAAACTTGGGTGGAATTTAGGCTTTCACAGAAACATCGCTAAAAACATTTTAGATTTCAGCCTAGAATAATTGCTCGGCTAAAATTATCACGATTAAAAAACATCAAGTTTTGAAATTTCTAAAAAAGCCATCTCTAAAGAGTGATAAAAATGTCTATCTTGGAATATTAAATTCAAATTTGGCACCCTAAACGCAATTTTGTGGTGAAAACCTTCCAAAAAGCGACGAAAACAGCATTTTTGACTGTTTTGTGATGAAAACTTTGCCAGCGACGCATAATTTTTTGTTGATAAAGCTTGTGATTTTTTGAAAACATCCGCCTTCGAAAAATTCTAAATCCGCCGCTGGTTTTCATGAACAGAAATTACTTTCAGCTTTTTCTTGTTTTTATTTTTGTAGCTATCTCTGGATGCACTTACACTGTATGAAAGACTGACTTAAACTTAAAAAGTTTGATAACAGCAAAAGTTTGATTGATATAAATTTATAAACTAAGAGATAATTAATGGCCAATACATTGACATCAGAAAATAGTACAACTCATCAGGTAATTACTCCGTGGCAGATGTGTGCAAATAAATTAAGCTCGTGCTTATGGAAGAGCAAAATTAGAAAATGTGAAACAAAATTCTTACTGTAATGGCGAAGTGATTAAAGGAAAATAAATTAATTTGAAAATAGCACCGAATTGAGAGAACTCAAAAGGAAAAATTAAAGAGTCAGTTAATAAATAAAATTCAGTTTAGTTTTAAAAAGTTTTCGGCTTCAGAAATTGATTGATGTTCATTTGGCTGCCGCTGTTTGAAGTGTTGATAGCTCCAATAGACTGTAAAAGAGCCGCAGATACGCCCATGTTTGCGGGGTTAAAGTTTGGAAGCCGCGATAGTGTTGCGAGAAGCGCGGGATTGGCAAGAAAAGTTGCGGCAGGGTTTGGCGCAAAACCATTGAATGTCGGCGAAGTCTGCTGGTGCATTTCCGGAACACCGTTTGGTGAAATCTCCTGAGGTGAGAGTTTGGGAAGAGCCATCTGAGGTGGCATCAGGTGTAGGTGTCCCGGAATCAGCGGATTTACAGGACCGAATCCCGGACTATGGGGGAAAATAGGGGGATGGAACCCGTTAGGGTACGGGTACGGTGCCGAGAAGCCAATCGGTCGTCTAAACGCCAAGCGATTTCGGTTTCCAGAAGATCGTCGTCGTAACTTTCCGGTTGTTCCTCCGATGAAGACATCGTCGGCTGAAGGATCCAGCATCCAGTAATTTCCCTTGCCTGGGTCGTCATAATGTCTGGGTACTTTAACGAAACATTTATTTAACGACAGATTATGACGAATAGAATTCTGCCATCCTTGCTTATTTTCTTTGTAATAAGGGAAGTTCTTGATGATGAACTCGTAAATCCCATTTAGAGTCAGTCGTTTTTCGGGTGAGCTGCGGATTGCCATCATGATTAAAGCGTTGTAACTGAACGGAGGTTTGTCATTTTTCTTCGACTCTTCGGAAGTTTCGCCCGATTCTGTTTTTGATCCCGTCGGAAGTTCCGAATCGTCCTCAAAATCACTTCCGAGATCCTGCGTGCTCAAAGTGTCCTCCTCATTTCCGTTTGTCTCGCCGTCGATTGAGAGTTCGTCTGATGTGTTCACGTCGTCGTCGTATTCGGATTTGATTATCTCGGTTTTAATCTGAAGAGCCTCGGAAGGTTCTGTGCCCGTCGCATTTGGGGTAACATTGCTAGTCGTGTCAACAAGTGCCGAGTTGTGGCTCAAACTTTCTTTCGAGTAGTTTTTAGATAGAATGTCGCAGATGCTAAATGACGTAAAAGTTTTTCTGTCAACGGTCATTTTTGAAAATTTTGTCTTTCGATATTTTTCTTTTTTTTGGAATAACTCAAAATTGAAATTCAGGAAAGTAGGGGAATTGTTAATTTTATTTTAAAAGTTATTAACTGGCAGACAGTTTGTTATTATGATTTGACTTAACTAAAATGAGGGGTACTAAAAAGCCAAAATTACAACAATAACAAAGTACTTTACTTCAACTAAAAAGATCAGCCAATGAAATCATCGGACCAATGAAAAACTCTTTTGAATAATCCGCCACGGACCGCAAAGTCCTCCGAAGTACTTATTATAACAGCAATTTGAATTCCAATAAAATTTTGGTCAAACTGCTTAACTTGGAGCCGAAATTTATTATAACTGGATAAATTCCAGTGGTGATAAGCTTGCCATATATACCAACTGAACTTAATAATGGGGGAATAATTATAAACAATGCAAGCATGTTATTGGTATGGTTTATTAAATTAACGCAATTTTAATTACTGGAGTTTGTTATTGTAGCTACCAAGTTAAGCCCGTTAATCCCTAATTGACCAGCTAATTGCGCCCAACGACTTGACTTATTGCAATAGAACAAACTCAAGGCGCCATTGGCTTCAAAATGGTCTCAAAATTTCCATAAAAACCTGAGCAAAGAATTCCAAAAGTAGGCGATAAATGTTGCGTAAGTTGTTAGATCTCGAATCACTCGGAACTCGAAATGTCTGCAGCGCAACGAAGAGTTGGTTCAGATCCGAAAAAAGAGTCTCGTTTGCGAGACGAGATTAAGATTAGATCTAAGAAGTGAAAAAAGGTCCGAGTTGACAATAAACTATTGACACACCAGGGAACTTGTGAGTGTCATCACAGGTTAAGGGAATAAATTTGAGTGGCAACGATTCGACGTTGACACTCAATCAGTCGCAGAATTCGTTAAAGCTCAGGTTCTGATATCATAAACATCACTAAAATAAGAGTTTTAAGTTTTTTAGACTTGGAAAACTTCATAAAAATAGTTTCTGAATATTAACTTTCTAAATACTGCGATTCCTCGCCAAATTTTGATTAAAATTAAGGACGTTGCGCTTTTGTAAAATTATGGCCGGCATTAGGCTTTGAAACACATTTCACGATGGTGATGAAATGAGAAACTATTAAACATACTCAAACCCACTAATTTCATGTTTCTACAAAAAAGTTACATGTTTCTAAAAAAACCCTCATGTTTCTAAAAAAACCCACTAATTTCATGTTTCTAGGTACCTAGTAAAGAATACCCCCCCCCCTATAAAGGAAGCGGTGGTAGCGAATCCAAACCCCTCCCACTTCATTTCTGGATGCCAAATATTTCTGGTTGCCCCCTCCCCCACTTCATTTCTGACTGCCAAATTTTTGTAAAGGCTCCTTTGACGCCAAAATTACTAAAACTGAGTGGTTTTGGTCAATTTTTTCTAAGAAATCCTCAAAACGTCATTTTTATCTAGTTTTTCTTTCAAAAATTTCCTTCCGGCGCAAAATTTTTTGACAAATTAGGTTCCTCTTTCTTTTTTCGTAGAGCTTGGAAAACCAAATTGGTGGACCTAAAAAAAGTCGACAAAATTTTACTTTTTCTTTTCCAAAAAACTCTGCGGACGTCACTGTGTTCGTACTTGGTTTTTTGATTTTATTTAGATGGAAAGGATATTTCCATATTAGAGAACTAAGAAGTAGCAAAACGAAATGAAGGTTCCGAGGAACTAAAATTAAAAGTTAGGAAATTGAAAATTGACAATTTGATAAATTGGGTAAGCTGCACTTTCAATTTCAAAACTCTAACAATGTTTTTTTTTGTTTTTGTAAAATTACATATACCTGCAATTGTTTTTTTGGAAGAAGAAATTTTGATTGCAAAAAAATTTAAGTTTGTGTTGCTGTATCCAATGACAAATTAAAAAAAAAGTTAATCAGGATGAGATGAATCTCAGGGTCTTTCGAGTGCCATTAGCCGTCAAAAATTAGGTTCAACTTCAGGAAAAAATTGACGGAATTTAAGTTAGCTGATTTGTCCTTTTTAGTGTACGTCCTTTAAAATTGACACAAGGTCAGTGCTCAATCAAAAAAAGAGTCGAGACAAAAGTCTGGTTGGAGCACAAACTCAAAACATACTCCATGCACCATCAAGCACCAAAAAGATTAATGAAGCAATGTTGAAAAACCTCAAATTTGGTCAATCACAGCAGCCCAATTGTCAATTCTTTTACAATTTTGTTATAGCAAAAAAAAAATTCTGCAACCGATTGAATGCTCATGAAAACATTTTCATCAGCAAGTGATGCAAAAGTTTTTGAAAGAAGTATCATTCATTCAGATCTCATTCCTTCACTTCTCATTCATTCAGTTCTCATTCATTCAGTTCTCATTCGTTCTGGTCTCATTCACTCAAGTCGCATTCATTCAGGTCTCATTAATTCAAGTCTCCTTCATTCGGGTCTCATTTGCTCTGGTCTCATTCATTTAAATCGCGTTCTTTCAGGTCTCATTAATTCAGGTGTCGTCCATTCAGGTCTCATTCATTCAAGTCTCCTTCATTCAGGTCTCATTCGGTCTGGTCTCATTCGTTCAAGTCTCATTCATTCAGGTCTCATTAATTCAAGTCTCTTTCATTCAGGTCTCATTCGTTCAGGTCTCATTCATTCAGCTCTCATTCAATCAGGTCTCATTCATTTAGTTCTCATTTGTTCAGTTCTCATTCAATGAAGTCTCCTCCATTCAGGTCTCATTCATTCAGGTCTCATTCATTCAGGTCTCATTAATTCAAGTGTCGTTCATTCAGGTCTCATTCATTCAAGTCTCCTTCATTCAGGTCTCATTCGGTCTGGTCTCATTCGTTCAAGTCTCATTCATTCAGGTCTCATTAATTCAACTCTCTTTCATTCAGGTCTCATTCGTTCAGGTCTCATTCATTCAGCTCTCATTCAATCAGGTCTCATTCATTTAGTTCTCATTCGTTCAGTTCTCATTCAATCAAGTCTAGTTCATTCAGGTCTCGTTCATTCAGGTCTCATTCTTTCACGTCTCATTCATTCAGGTATCATTCATTCAAGCCCATTCATTCAGGTTACAAATTGTTTTTATTGTCATTCCGATCGGACTGTCGGGTACCTGTAATAACGAATATCCCCCCATAAATCAACGGTTAAGCTTTTCAGAAATTCATACTTCCTATTGAATATGCCAAAAACAAAAAATTGCAGAGAACGGCAAGAACAAAAAACCCAGATCCGCTCTGAGAAAAAACTAGATTCATCACTGCCCTCTGCAAACACTTCTTAAATTCTAATGGATAATCGGCACAACGCTGGTTTAAAATCAACCTCAGTTAATGGTAAACAATACTGCTCAAATCAGGGCATAGTCCTGAATATTCCGACTGCGCATTAATTGGTCTCTAGTAGTTTTTGAAATTAAATTGAATTCAATTAAATGTTATTCATGCATTCGTTTTTTACGAGAAGAATCTTTCGTATGCTCCTAATTTACGAGAGGAATCGTTATTATTCGTATTGAACGAGAATAGTTGTTTTAATTCCCAATGCTTAAAACGTTATACGAGTTATTGCAATTGCATTTCCCTTCCTTTTACAAAAAGATAAAAATATATTTATCTTGTGGTGGCAGTGGCGTCACGCTTTGTGAGCACAAGAAAATTATTCATGTTTCTGTTACAATCTGAAATCAGACACTGTAAGACCAGCAGTAAACCAGATTTAATTGTGGCGACCACTCTCAAAGAGTGGGATGTAACTATGGAGTAGGTTTTCTTCTCAAGTACATCAAAAAAATTTTGAAACAGCAAGCGTGGTATCAATTAAAAACAATTCTGCCAGCTGAATATTTAATTTTTTCATCCAGTTTGCCGCAGGATTTTCAGAATATATAAAAAACAGAATTAGCAATTACAAAACAAATTCGAAAATTTTAACTCTTGATGTTTTTGCTTTGTTTAATACCATCTTACTTAAATTCACAACAAAAACTTCAATTTTTTGAAATTTTTTTTTTTTTTTCAATTTCTAACCTCGAATTTGTGGAGGATCCCAGCAACCGGTTATCTGCTTTGCTATAGGCGAAGTTTATGCTTTTTAAAAACATTCATGACTTGATTATTTCTGTTTGATAAATGTTAATTATTCTAATTTTAAGCTCAAATCATCAGATTGCTCGAAAAGATCCTTCAAAAACACCTTGTAAAAATTTTTAAAAAAAACAACGTGTACAAATATTTCTTCACTTTCTTTAAAAATCAGAAGAAAAATTTAGACGCGAAATAAATCAAACTTTTCTGGGAAGATCAAAAAAGTCGGTACAACTGGCTCAAACATGCAGAAATAAGCTGGAAAAATAAATAAGTGATTTTCAGATCAAATGCAAGAAATTCAATATTTTATTCACATTTATTGAAATGAGACTAAAACACGAAGAAGTTTGAATCAATTTTTTTGCTTAACTATTACAATTTTTGATTTTTTGAAATGAATTGTGGTGAATAATGACATGACAGTGTTTTTATACGTATCACAATCGGGGGCCTAAAATCTCGACTAAGGTTAATTTCTCAAACACAGCTCTAGCTATAGTTCGTTGCTACTCCTAACTGAGCACCAGTATGATAAAAAAAACTAGTCTCGCTTAAAGTTTGTGCACGAAAAGTCATTTGCCTCAAACAACCGATAAGGGGCATGGAATTTGATATCCTTATTAAACCCTTTCCGTTATGAAATGGATTCAAAAAATTTAAAACATGTTTTTTTCCCATTAAACGTTTCTCTATTTCGAAAAAATATCTCACTCAATAACTTTTCGGTTCCAGCAAAATATCATATATAACTCACTAAAGTCTCATTTCGTTTCAAAGATGAGACTTCAAAATTCTTTCAAGCTAGTCTGATTTTTTTAAAAACTTATATTCATCCGTTTGTTGCACACTAAAATGTCATAGTTTGCTCTAAATTATCTAAAACATTACTGACTGTAGATGAGAATGAACTAACAGTTTTTTTCTACAAAATTTCTATTCTTATCAATTTTAAAATAATCCGAAAAAGATATATGCTTTGAGCTCAAAATTAAAAACCCACTTCATATGCATTAAGAGCATTCGAAGTGCATTAAGAGAATTCAAAAAATTGTATAATTGATCAATAAGTTGAGAACATTCGAACTAACTACCAGTTTTTTTTTTCAATTATTAGGGTGAAAGTCATTTTGCGTCTCCTCGTTACGCTTCTAGCCAAATATTGCTTTGTCAAACCATATATTTCATTATCTTTCCGTCAGTTGATTTCTCATTCGAAACTATCAAAATCAGCCATTTTTTGAATCTCACATTTTAGCAATTTTTTTTGGCATGGCAAGATTTATAGCCAATTTTCCTCTGTCAATCGATGATCTCTGTGAGCAAATCTCAATTACAGGTAGGATATCAATTGACAGTTAGCCCAAATCTTTTCACCCATACTAGCCCACGTGTTAGATCCCCGGGAGGCGACTTAGTGGGAAATAATGAAGCCAGTATCCCCCTCTTTGATCCAAGGGGGGCAAAACTGGGATAAGATAAACAAGAAAACAAATCCCTTCGCTAATTCCCACTTTTCCACATCATTTCACCCAAGTCCATTCTGATTTTCATGTATTTGATAAACACGTGTTCAAATAGTGAACACATAATGAACAAACACTACACTATATAAGGCGTGTTTTATTGGGCTAAATTGTGAAATAGCTAAGGTGCTTTTATTAATTTATGTGTTGCATACTAGGGTGATTTATGTCAAACTGGGCTATTTTCTCGGGGCGATTAATGATGCCCGATTACATCTATACTTGAGCTTCAATAGGTGAGATTACAATCTATAATGGCCATTGGGATCCATTTTTCCCTGTTAAGAGCCACTTAACAAGGAGACTTATTGGGGAGGACCCTTAACATATTTCACTACCTGTTGGGGCTATTATGTCATTTATTACACCCCAATTGAGCTGTAAAATTGTCTGCTAGCCACAGCAAGCAATCCTTCTCCATTGTTGATGTCGCCCAGGTGTTGACAAGTTGTTTACAAATAAGACAATAAGTCGCATGCGCAAGCCTAATCTCAATTAACAGGTAGACTTTGTGTAGCGTGAAGGCACTACACTACATTGTGACATGATGTCTACAGGGAGTTGCATTCAAGTTCACGTTCAAAATGATGTTCCCGCTGTGGAAAAATAATAGAACATTTTTCATTCAGTTTTATTTCGCACAATCAATCCGGCCGTTTTTTTGGATCAGTCGCCCCTTCACCTCTCAGAAACAGTTTTTGACCGACTAAGTTTTCTAATTTTCCAAGTCATCAAAATTGGCATTTTTAGCTGATTTCCTAAAAAATTTATTTGCAGCGCGGTAAAATTCAGCACAATAAGATCTTTCCGTGTTTTTAGATATATTAGATAATATTTGCTCCTGTTTTTTTAGCGGGCCAAAATTATTCCTGGGTGGTCAAAGTGTCGAATTCCTGAGGGGCCAGGGGCATCCCCCCTTAATCTGCTCCTAAAATGAGTCATAGTCGCTTGCTTTGTGTGCACATTTTTCAATCTTGGAACAATCTTTTTTTTACAGTAAACATTAATATAAAAACGCTTTTATCTGGAAAATTGAAAAACGCTTTTGATCTACCGTTAAACATTGATTCGTGATGTTTTACCATTAAACAAAAACTCTAAAAGTTGCCAAATCATGGCTGACCGATCCTGCCAGTTTTTTGCTTCAGAAACCAATTGTCAAACAAACCAGCAATCTTCACATGACCTGCATGAATCAGATTTACTTTCGTGCCAAAAAAATTTAGCACAAACTCATTTTGTTTTTTTTTTGAGATATATCTTTTTTTCGGACGTTTGTATAACAATTTCTCAAAAATATCATATAAAGACAGAAAAAATCAAAAATTTTATAAAAAATGAAGCGAGTGCTGATTGTTAGTATGAAGGAAAGCAGCGGCTATGTTACCCGAGTGCAGAGCATGTTGTCTAGTCTGCATGCTCAAATCTCATTGGCCAACGAGTTGGAGCCGAAGTCGCTGAGTACTCGGATGGACTTAGTTCTGAATTGTGACGTAGTGGTGATTTTGGCCACGATGAAACTACAAAGAAGCATGGTTAGTATAGTAGGGCTTAACTTTCAGATAAATTTTAGATAAATTGTTTGTCATAAGAACTATGAAACGCTATGAGGCGATTAAAAAATTCTCATCAATAACTTAATTGTATGCAATTAACCGGCTGCACTTATCCAAACGAGCGTTGCTCACAATCTTCTCAAACAGTAAAAAAAAATTGAATTTAGTAGAATAAAATATCGGCTGTAAATCGGAAGTTGGGTATCATATAAAAATTTTTTAGCCGTATTACGGATTATAAATAGAAATATTAAGTTTTCTCTATTTTCAAGAAAATCTGGTCTAAGTTTTGCTATAAAAACTCTGGTTTTGCAAAAAATGGTGAAAAATTCAGCGAAAAGTAGCAAATGAGCTGTTTTTTTTTGTTTAACAACATAAATACTTGACGCACATTAAGATAAAACAAACTAATCTGCAAAAAAATTTAAGAAAGATGCTTAAAATTTTTTTGGAAACGTTATTAATGCGATGGTTTTTGGTGGAGCTTCTATGCTTATTTGCACAGAGCCCGCTTAAATAAAGTGTTCTTGTGGAAAACAAACATATACCGTTAATTTGTAAATGGCTGAGTGCTACAAATAAAAACGATTCATTTCTACAATTCTTAATTAAAAATGTTCATACATTAGATGAGCAATCAAATCAGAATTGATTGCTTACAAGATACTTATAAAGTATAGAAAGAAATAAAATCGAAGAAAGTAAGAAATATATATGCTCTGGGTGATTTTTTTTATTCAAAACAATTCTCAAAAATATTTCTCCATGGGGATTAATCCATGGATCTTCGTTGAACCAGAAGGGGCGCGCTCACCGCTACACTACCCTGTTTACAAAAGAGCTGCGAACGCTGCATTATAAACTAACTCGACTAAAATTACGCTTTGATTTCTGGATGCTGAAAGTTTAGCGCGCATTATTTAAGCATGGCAAAATAACCCTAACCACAAAACTGTTTGGCTGATGTACACAGCTAAATCAACTCGTTTCAATTCATCTCTCAATTCGTGAATACTATTTAAAAAGCACTCATGAATTCAGAATTAATTTGAAGCCAATTGATTTAGCTATACAGAGCAGCCAAAATGCCCTGTAATATTTTCTAACACAAAAATTCAAAATGGGAGAGATTCATTGATTTTTTTCTTTTTTTCCGACAATCATTATAGTCGGGATGTTTTGAATTAATTAGTCATTAACAAATTAACATTACATGTTTGAAGCTCTATGTGAATTTTCTCGTACTTTGATTCTAAAAACTCTGGGTTCACAGAATCTTTTATTGCAAAGACAGATCGAGGTTTGACGGAATAAACACCACTTATCGTTCTACTATCAGTATGACCCCTACGGATAAAGTGAAACTCAAAAAAATGGCGCAGAATAGCAATATTGAATTATTTGATCGCTTTAGTTCTTTTTAACGCATCGAATTACGTTTCACTGGATAAAAATGCTGAAAAAAACTTTTACAAAGTAAAAAAAATACAAAAAACTATGACCGGTAACTTTTAAATTGGAGCAGAAGGCATCACTATGTTTCTGTTGACTTGAAAAAGTTAGGCAGTAAAGGTATAAAAACTTGAACAGTTTTTGCAGCAAACAAAGCACAAGTAATTTGCAACATTTTGCGAAGTGCAAAAGTATAGATCAATGAATCATGGTGGGTTTAAAAACACTTCCATAATTGTTCAGATATTGAGAATGGGGAGGAATTTGAAGTCGGGTGTGTTTTAGTTTTTTTCTTTCATTTTCTTCCCACTCAAAATCATGTATCGCAAATAATATTCGTACTGGGTTGAGTGAGATATCATAGCACTTACAATTGTGGCTCTAGCCACATTTAAAAAGTTCATGAATACCAGTATTGAAAAAGCAGGTTTGAGATATATTTTTCATATTACTTAGAGCGAATAAAGCGATCGAGCAGTCTTATTTTAATTGCTTAAAAGCTTACAATAGCTTAAATTACAATGTAAAACTTTAGTTTTTTTAAAGCAAATTTGATTTACTTTGAGAATTTTAGCGCGTTTTTGGAATCTAAATTTTCAAAAATTCAAAAAACTACAAAAAGAAACTTGAAAATTTTTTTGATTTTTTCTTGTTTTTCTAGTAAATTTTTCGACAAAAATTGTTTTTCAGCTTGCTTATTTTACCATGGTTGTCAAACATACCTAGTTTTCAGTTTGTTATTCAGCTTTTTCATCACACCGTGCTAAAGAAAACGACAATGATTTGAAAAAACTTTTTTGTATTTTCATGGTCGGAACATTCTGTGCTACTTGCACAGTATCCAGTTTCCCCGTTTAATTTCAAAAAACTGAAAAAAAAATGGAAAAAAAAGTACCAACGGTTAGTTTTTTCTAATCAATTTGCCTCTTTTTGAATTGGAATGAGTTTCTAAGTTTCTATATAAATCACCCTTACTTGGCCGGAATTGATCACATGCATTAAAAATCTCTAGGTAAGAAAAAAATTCCATCAGAAACTTTTAATTAACAAAAACAGCCTTACGTAGTGCAAATTGTTCAAGATATTTAAAACACAATAATTTTAGCTTGAAATATTGAAAAATCAGAAAAATATTTATAAATTTAAAGTTTCAGGGGTTTATCCACGTTTTTCTTAATATAATTATTAAAGGATGATTGTATTCCAATTAAAAAATGCGTTCCTTACTATCATTTTGCTAGAAAATTTCTGAGCGGATAAATTCCGCTTTTTTTAGACAATTATATGATTTTTTTGGAATCTTTATCCTGGCTGAAAGGGGTTTTTATAGGATAAAACCCATAAGCCCTCATATTTATTTGAGTTAATTAAAATGCGTTGAAAAAAACTACCGAACTCGCCCATGAAAAGAAGTTGAAACTGGTGCTAAGAAAAGGTCAAAAAAGAATACGCTTTCTGTTAACTTCGTCGAAAATTATATTAATAATATGCCTGATATTGGATTTTTTCTGGACAAAAGCACAACTGTTGCTGTCGCAATTCGATTGTGAAATTTGAATACATTCACATTAAATATCGAAACATCAAAATATCGTGTTTTTACGGCTAAAGAAAAACGCTAACTCGAGGCTAGTTGTAAAACTCGGGAATATCTCCACTTTTGTGAAACAACTTTGACATTCGTCGTGTTTTTGCGTTTTTCGAAATTCCAATAAACGTTTTCGATAATTTGATCATACAGCGTTTCTTTTCACCAGAAAATGATGGAAATGGCTGTGGCAGCGTACGAGAAGTATAAGATCATGGTCGTGTTCCCAGTGGAGATGGGCTACAGGCCATTCGGAGTGCTGGGGGGCATCGCGCAGACCAACGACGACTGCAGCGAGGCGCACCTGGACACTGTAACTCCTGAAGAGTTCAACAAGGTAGGTGCAAGGCTGCAGTTCTGCGAGTTTGGTATGGAATACGATATGTAAGACAGCCAGCAGCCCTAAAATGTACTCGTTGTCTGAAACAAAACAAACAGATCAGTTCAATTCAGTAGCGGATTTAGGAGGGGGGCACGGGGGGCACGGGGGGCGGACGCCTTTCTTTAAGGATTCGACCCCCTGCCGACCCAAACTATTTTGAGATATATATTTTTGGTGAGGTATTCTAGAAATTAAAGGCGCCTTTGGCGCCAATAAATACTTATTTTAGGCGAAAAATTCCTTTTTTGGCCTGTTTTTTCAAAACTTTGTTTGCGGTGCAGAAAAATCGACCGAAACAGGGTCTTTTCAATGCTCTGGTAGAGTTAGGAAAATCAATTTGGTCGACTCTAAAAAAAATGTCAATAAAATTTTCGAAAGCTCGAGAAAATCCTAGATCCGCCCCTGGTTCAATTTATAAGCTTTTAATTATTTGCAACTTAGTTTCACTTTCATTTGTTTTTTTTTTTTTTTTCGTTAAATATTTATTATGCGATAGAATTATGCATTTGTAAGCTTGAAATGTAAGCCCGAGTCACCAAACTATCGGCACATATATACATCGTTTCATATCTCTAAAATGGGACAAACGACTTCCGATCAGGGCCATTGCTTAAAACGTGAGCTGGTCAGCTGCCGTACGCATTTTGCGTTATTTCCAGGGCTGCAAAATACTGCTTCATCTTCACGATATATACTTCAGGTAAAACAATCTTAGGCATTGTTACCTTGAATGAATGAAACGTTTAGGCTGTTTGTACCCATGTGAAATCTCTCATCAGAGTGGACTTGGGTTCCCTGGATGCGATGACTGCTCCTCCGAAGCCCAATGGGAACAAAGTGGTCGTGCATGCAGCTCCAGACACCGAAGTGACTGTGAAGAAACTAGAGGAGGCGTTCAGTTAGTCATTGCGAAACTTTAAATTCTAAGAAATCTGGGATCAATCTTTGTTTGAAATTCTACAACAAAAAGTTTTGGTCCAACATCTTGATCCAGCAGACAAAACAGGAAGGAATAAAAATAATCCAAAAAGGCACGACAATAAGGCGAGAGAGTTTTAGGATGATTGAGAACAATTCAGATCCTCGTGATCAAATAATTGTGGTTTCTCGTAAAACCGATGTCTAGATTTAGTGTTCAACTGCCCAGGGCAAACTCGGGGACTTATGTTGCGGTCATTGCGACTCAAAAAGTGTATGTTGCGACCATCGCCACTGAAACACGAGTAACTGGGTCATCGTTTGATTTCAGAAAAACAAGGAGTGCCTGTGACTAAAATCTCCTCAATCAAACTCAACTCTGTCAAGGACTGCGCTGTGTACATACCTGTAGTGTCGCAGCAGTTCTTCGCCTCCAAGTACAGCGAGAGGGAGATGGAACAGATCAGAGAACAGCACGACTGTCATGTCAGGGCTGTCACCACTGGCACTAACATGGCAAATGCACCCCCGTGGGCCAGGTAGGCATAGCCATTTCAAATAATGGATTTCTTAAAATAATAGCGAATGGGGACCCTTTGGTTGGCGATGTGGTCGACTCCCTCAAAGAAGGCAAAAACTCCCCCCCCCCCCCCCTAAAACCACCCCTGGCCATTTCACTTTTGAAACTGATTTAAATAACAACACTTGCAATTTTTAGACTGATCAGCAATTGTTACTTCAGACCTTTTCCTATAAAAACTCAGCTTCAAGAAAACAGCATGAATTTCACTTTTGAATATAAGTAAAATTGTGGACTGGGAAATTTTTTTAAATAGAAAATTGTACGCATAAGGTCGTCCGAAGAATGATGGCTCGAGACAGAAGAAAACAAACTCGATTTTAATGCGACTTCATAGTGCAAAATTAAAAGTTTAACGAACATGAGTTCTATGCGTTTGTAGGGTAAGGAGGCCCCAACTGACTAAAACTCACAAGAGTGGTATAAAGAAACAGAAAAAATTATTTGGATTGGTAATCGGTGACTCGAACCACTGACCACCTAAAAGTGCACTAATTAAAGACCTGCTGTTTCAATGTGAATTTTTCTGAAGGATTTTTCTTTA